CGGTGTTTCCTCTAGGAAATTGCTTGTTTGCGGAGAAAGTTGTTGTATGCATTGCTGTATTCATTACAACTTCAGTCGTTACAATGAAACAAAAAGATGGCCTTTTTATAAGACTCTTACACAATGAAAACAAAAAAAAAGTACAACTCTCTTCAAACAAACGCAAGATCCGTTTATCGTCTCTTGCTTGCGTGGGTCTTTTGCCTGTGACGGGGACGTCAATATCCGTGGACCACCTGGCACTCAGATCTGTTCCGAAAGAATCGAACAGAGCTTCGTCGATCCGCGTGAGATCTAGAAGCCTGAAGCGTCTATCTCGGCTAAAACGAGATATCAGCTCTTCTTAGTGATTACCGGCGAAGGGTAATACTAAGGAAAAGGGGGAACGGGTGATGAAGGCTCTGATGAAGACCTCTCCTCTCCTTGTTGAAGCGCTCGACCACTCTTCACTGCAGCAGGGCTTCGCCAAGCTCTCCAAAAAATCCTCCTCTCCAAAACAAAGGTAAGGGGTGCTATTTATAGGCAAATGAGGGGCTCTAGGGGGCCTAGACACCCCAAGGGTGTCTCGGATGTTTGAAGCGGGAATAAAATTTTGATTTCCGGAGGGATTTCCTTAATTCCATGCAAAATTGGGGTGACTTCTCCAACCTGGATTGTAATTTGGAGAAAACGAATCATTTCTAGGACGTTAAAATGCAGCATTCATCTATTCTAATGACTGTGTGTTTCCTAAGATAGGGCATTCCTCTGAAACATGGAGAGGAGGAAGACAGTTATGACAACCTGAGATAGAAATTTGATTGATTTGAGCTGGAGCTCATTTCTGTGACGCCCCTGGGTTCACACAAGGCTGCAGTCCAAGGTGAAACCAAGTATGTCAAACCTGCCATGCACCACACCGTGCAATAACATGTTTCACCATCACAATTAACATCTATCTAGTAGAGTCAACAATAGGTGTAGGTACAAAAGCAAGTAAAATATAATACAAGAAAGACTGATGAAATGCTAATAATCAAATAAACGTCTCATCATCCAACATATAGAAATACATAATCAAGGTCTGAGTAGATAAACTGGAATACTCAACAGGTCTCAAATATAAATATCTGACAAGAAGGAAATAAGGCACACAACCTTTACAACTTCTAGAACAAGACTCTCAAATGTCTAAACAAAAGCCTACTGTGGAACTCCAAAAGAAAATATATAACTAAATAGACAGCTGAAGCTAAAATGCATCGCCATCAACCTGCGACTCTCCGGGCTCCTGACTCGTTACCTGAAAGGGGGAGAGACAACGAGCGTCAAAGCGCTAGCGAGTAACATCACAACCAACCCCAAGGGAAAAGGGCTCGTTGTATAAGAAAATGCAGATAATACATAATAGATCTAAAAATCATTGATCTTACTAAAGAGGGTTTTAGTATTTAGAAATTTACAACACGAGAATAGGTACGTCGAGCGAAATAATCCAAACAAGAAAACCCTCATGTATATACATTATATCTCAAATTGTAAACCCCTAACCACCAAACCCGAGGTTCTAGTACAGGAACAAAAATAAAAGAAATACAACAAATATCAGAGCATCAATACAGTGCCATAACATAGCCTACATGAGTATCATGCTATTACTTACATGGATATCATGTCAAAATCTACATATATGTCATGTCATAAACTCCTATGAGGAGGTCATATGCAGGGTTAAGAAATGTGTCCGATACAGGGACTATATACTATGGTTTCCAAACTAATGGAATAAGTGGCAAATGTCCAACATGAGGACTGAAATGGATTATAGTCCAACACGAGGACTTCTATGGATTATAGTCCATCACGAGGACTTCTATGGATTATAGTCCAACACGAGGACTGTGAAATGGTAAAAATATCACTGAGATACATAGTGAAATCTACTTATATCAGTTCACACTCAAATCAGTGTGTATATCCCCAATTGGTACCCTCAGGTCATCTATCATGCATCGATACATAGTAAGACTAAAAACTAGAGTCAAATAATAGGCAAAATCCTCGAACATAAATAAAACATACAGAACAGGGATTTTACAACAGACTGTGCGTCGGTCGACCGCACCGGTTGACCGCGCTCTGATACGCGCCTGGCGGTCGACCGCTGCGGCATCGCGGTCGACCGCCAGAGCGTCGCGGTCGACCGTAACGGCTTTGCGGTCGACCGCAGCCCTCCAGCGCGCCCAGCGGTCGACCGCAGAGCTGACAGAAGCCCAAATCTGGGTTTCTGTTAGCTCAAAACCTGAAACAAAAATTTGATTTTTGACAAATAAAAGATCTAACTTCTCTAAAAATCATACAGTAGAAGAACAATGCATTTTTAAGCATGTAAACCATATACCCAAAATTCTAAATACAAGAGAAACATGTTAAAAACGTTTTAATAACAGTGAAATGATTTAACTCTTGTTTAAGCAAAATTCAGATCTAGATCTTCATTAAACAAAAAATTTGTGAACTTTTATAAACTGAAACCTTTGATTCTTGTAATCCATAATATAGAGAACTCAATTTCATACGAAAATACCTTTTGGGCTTATCAAACTCATGAAGAATCAAAAGAAAATCATAGAAAATATGGGTGAGGGATTGGGCGAGATGATACTCGCCTCAGGTGCTGCCGAATCTCCTGTAGATGATCTCCTTCAACCTGAACTGCGAAATCCCACTGCAAAACTCTTCGAAAATTCCCAAAAACGCCAACCGCTGCTAGGGTTTAGAGAGGAGAAAGAAGGGGGCTAGGGTTTTGGATCTCAGGTGAAGAGAGGCTCTTTTGGGTTGATTAGTATATGTACTAATCCCATAACCCGACCCGAAACCCGCTAAGACCCAAACAACCCGCTAAAACCCAAACCCAAAAAAAAAGTCTATGTCCTTTGCGCGGTCGACCGCCGCGGTCGACCGCACAACAGGAAAATCAAATCCTGTTGTCTGCTGGACTATCTATTGATTTCTCTCACATATAACCACCTGTTGGGTTCCCAAACACTGATAAACATATACATCTTATATATATATATGATTATTTATCACAAAAGAAATATTTATTACTATTAATTCACACATTTTCATTATAAAATTTCGGGGTTTTACAGTTTCTTAATTTCTAAGTCTTCTAACATTCGCAGAATTGTCGTCATCTTTGCTTCGGAGGCAATGTTTGACTCTAAGGAAAGACCACTAGATTTAGGTTGGGGAACTGATGCAACTCTGTCATCATAGTGTTCCAACTGCATGGCTTTCTCGGATAGACTCTCTAAAAATTCCCAAGCTTCGTCGGCATTCTTTTTCATGAAATCCCCTTGGCACATCGATTCTAAGGAAGTTTTTAAAGAATAATCTAATCCTTCATAGATTATTTGGCATAATCGCCATTTTTCGAGACCCATAGTGAGGACATTGGATAAGAAGGTCTTTAAATCTGTCAAAATACTTCCAAAATGGCTCTCCCGGGATAATTTTAAAGTTCATGATGTTGTTTCTTAGATTAGCCGTTTTGTGGATAGAGAAAATTTTCTTTAGAAAAACGGTGACATATTCATCCCAAGTTGAGATAGAATTTGTGGGTAAGCTATACAACCATTTCTTGGCCTTGTCCTTCAGAGCAAATGGAATAAATCAGAGTTTGATCGCATCTTCAGATAGTTCTCTAATTTTAATCATAAGACACACTTCCTCAAACTCAGAAATAAAGATATAAGCATCTTCGGTTTCATTTCTTAAGAATTTTGGAAGCATGATTATAAAATACGGTCTAAGCTCAAAATTAGTTCCATTTGCTTCAAAGAGCTTAATGCAAGAAGAGATTGCATTCCTAGTTGGATAACATATATCTTGGAGAACATGTTAATTAGCCATTTCTTCAATTGGTTCAAACGGATTAAACGATTGGTATTATCCATAATCCAAGTTTGCATACACCAAAACAAATTCTTTTTTTTATAATTTTTTTCTAAAAGAAAATAAGAGTTATAGTTTTTTTACTAAAAGATTATAAGACAAAAAGGAGAAAAAGGAAACCCTAACTAAAACAAATCAAAACAATTTACTAGTGAATCTCCCAACCGAGGCTCAATTCCTTTATAAATCAGAAAAATTATTTATTAACTGCCAAATTTACCTAAAATTTTCTCTGCGATAGTGATCTTTTCTCCTTCGGCAGAAAGTTGAAATTACCCCGTCGTGATGTACCAAAATAAGAGCGAGAGAGACGTGTGATGCCAAACTAAGAGGGAGAGGGTGCATTTATGCAAACTAGAGAGATTAAGGATAATTATTTTCAAGACACTACCAAATAATTGGTCTACGGGGACGGTTCATAAGCGTCCCACTAGATAAAAAAACCGTCCTCATAGGCCTAAGGGAACGGTTACTCATCCGATACCTTTGCTGCCATAGTCTTTGGTCTAAGGGGACAGTTCATGATCTAAGGGAACGGTTACTCATCCGATACCTTTGCTGCCATAGTCTTTGGTCTAAGGGGACAGTTCATGATCCAAGTGGCGCGGTTCTTGAATTGTTCCCGTAGACAACATTTGGGGACGGTTTAACTATGGGGACAGTTCTTATTTTTTCAGATGGTGACGGTTATTTAGCAACGGGAACGGTTATATTTTTAAGCTACCGTAACGCTTTCGCACCAAGGGGGACGGTATCGAGTTTGATCTAAGAAGACGGTGTTATTTTCTATGGGAACGGTTTTGTTTTTGATCTATGGGGACAGTTTTTACATCAAAGGGGACGGTTAGAAATGGGGACGGTTTTTAGCAATGGGGACGGTTTTCAGATATAAAGATATAGGAACATGTATATATAGCAAAGGGGACGGTTTTCAATTTTGACCGTACAAAAGCAAATCATCCAGATATATCACACATTTTTTGATTTGCAGTTTCAAAATTAAAAAAGAACAAAACAAAACGAAAACTCCATGATTTATACTTGCTCATATCACAAACAAAGAAATGAAACTCCTAATTTTGCAAGAAAACAAACAAACATAAGGAACAATTCATTAGTTACATTACAATGACTTTAGTACAAGTTTTTTCTTTTGTCCAAAATACATGATTAAAATTCCTCTTTCATTAAAACAAAAAGTGTCCTCTTTTTAACTAAAAGGTCTCCATTGGTATACATAATTTGTAAATTGTCAGGATAGAGCTAATCTCAGAGTAAGTGAAAAGCACGCACGGATTAACCTGTTTCAGTCACCATCAATTTTCCTGCATAATTTTAGATAAAAAGATAAATGAGATTATATTAATTGCAAGATTATGCCACTTGAATATATGCTTTAAAATTCAATTAGCGCATACGAACATAACATCTAGTAATTTCAAGCAATCAATCATAAACAATTGTAATTAGATATGATTAACATTATTAGATCATTAAGTTCAACCAACAGCAGGCTCTAAGATATATAATTTGCCTGGCCATCGTGCAAGATCAGAACTAATAACAGTCTCCGATAGATTTGGTGTAATATAAAACAAAGAAAGAGATGTGTTCACTACCTAGGCTTGTTCTTCATGTTGTATGCTGGTTTCTCCTATATAATGCATGTGAAACTCATCAGCTTGCTCTCACAATGTAAGAGGATCTAAAACCAAACATACCTCACAAACAACTACTAATGACTATACCTCCTTAGTATAATATATCACATGATTCCAAGCTTTATAAGTGTTGTTTATTACATGCTGTTAAAAATTTACAAACATATATATCTAGTAGAAACTAGGTTAGGTAGTACAGGGGGTCTATCCGCAATTAACCATTGATATCAAATTGCTAACCAGTAGTCCACTAATAGTATAGAGTTGCACTTACTTATGTCTCGGTGAGATCTGTGCTATCGTGTATAAAATCAGTACCCTAGCTATCTAGCACTGTGACAATGAAGCCAGTATCAATCTAGTGTTGCTCAACCATTGGCACTAGTTGTATCTATATAATTTCAGCAGTGAGTGATCCCCACTAAAGCACTTGAAAATGTTATCTTTAGTTAAAAAACATAGTAAATAATTTACTCTTTAACATTTTATTGGAAACAAAAGCAATCCACTATACTATGACAAAGAAATAGTGCTCAACTTCACCTTTTGTGTAGTTAATTTAAAAACACAAACCTCATACAGATATGCATTCAAACATAAAGAAATCTTTAACACACTCATCATCCATTTTCATACTACTATACAATGAGGAACTACCATCTCTTTATATATGAATCATGATCTTAGAGAAGAGTAAGAGGTAGCAAAGAATTTGCAAGGTCTGCTAAATGGCATCTAAGAAAGCAATCTTCATTTTATTTGTGATATTGGCATCGCTTGTCTCAGCATCATTTGCAGGTTTGAAACTTTACAGAGCCAGAAATACTTCTCTCTCTTTTTTTAATAAAAAATCTAGGAGTATGTCACATATGCAATGTTTAAAAGTAAAGAAAACACGTACATGTACTATTTTAGTTCTGATTGTTTGACATCAATAAGGGATATTATGTCTAATGCACTGAAAATACCACTCACTTAGCTTATGCGGATAGGGAAAAAAGTAAAAAAAGAAAACAGCGATACGTTAGTGCTGCATACATGTGCTTTTGAAGAATTACAACTTAAAAAGTATGTAAAAGCTAATAGAATGATATACGATTTTATTTTATCTTTTTTGGTATATTCATAGTAATTAGTGTATACAACTTTGTGAATTGGTCCTTGTATCATGAAATTTTTGGTGTTTTTCGTTAATTTTATCTACAAATTGGATATATGGAATGACTTCAAACTTGTTTGCAGGCAGGCATCAGAAGCTTATGAAAAAGTCAACCATACAAATGAAGGGAATGAAGAAGGTACTGAATACATGTTGTGGTATATTACATAATATGTAGAATGTTTTCTGATTATAGATGTTCCCAATTCTTGACAGGGTCAATCACTTGCTCTTCATCCAAGAATCCTTTAGGTATATTAGAATTCTACATTGACCTATCCTTAAAAGCATAACAAGAACACAAGAAGCAAATTAGTAGGGCACCAACTTCTCTTATATATATTCTAGAGTGTATATGATATTTTAACTTTTGAAACCAAAGAAGCAACCAGTCCAAATCAAGTTGTCATACACACAAAAAAGAAAATAAAATATATAACAATAATCCCAAAACTACCTCATTTCGTGGATGATGACTGCTTCCAGATGAGCGAGGACGATCATGATTTCGAGCACTATTAGCTTGCTCAGGTGATCTTGTGCGTGCAACAAGTCTTGCAATAGCCGCCGGATCAATTGTTTGCCCAATTGTTTCCGTCAAGAGCTCGGCGAAACCATGAACCAAATCTACCTTCTGCGCTTCAAACTTTTTTGTCAACTCTTGTTCAACTTTTTGTGATATATTTTGAACAATAGATTCTGGAACTTGCTCATAGGGATCCACGATCTTTTTATATTTATTCTGGAGCATGGTTTTAGTGACACCCCTTCCCATAAGACGTACACGTCCAAGATGTTCATCTTTCTTGACTAAATCCCATGCATCATCATCTTCATCTTGAGATTTGAGTTCTTCTAAAGCATCCCATGCATCATCATCTTCATCTTGAGATTTGAGTTCTTCTAAAGCACCCTGCATTAGCAAAATTTAAACTTTGGTTGATATGCATGTTATATGTGAGTTCTTCTAAAGCACCCTGCATTAGCAAAATTTAAACTTTGGTTGATATGCATGTTATATGAAAATTAGGACCTAAAAAGCAATATATTAAAATTTATATTTAGTTGATATTGCATATACTCACTATCAAATTGATTATTTTCTCTCCTTGTGGTTTTGTATTCCTTTTATGGGTCTCAATCAATGTTACATTAAACGCTAGGCGCTTCTAGGCGTCGGACTTGGCGCCCAACGCTTAGTCGCCTAGGCGGGTGCCTAAGCGGTTTCTGGGCGTTTTTTTCTTTCTTCATTTAAGTGGTGATCGATGAGGTTTTGCTGAAGGTCGAAGGAGGTAGTGGAGATGTTCATATTTGGAGGTTAATGGAGTTTGGAGGACGTGTAGGCTACGACACATAAAATCACAATCAAGGCCTACAGGGTGCAATCTACATAAGCAGACAATGCTCCCTAAACGCTCGTAAAATCTAGGTGGGCAGCCTAAATACCGCCTAGGCGCTAGGCGTTAGTTAGGCGGCCTAGGTACCGCCTAGGTCTAGGCGTACGCCTAAGCGGACTAGGCGGAGGTTTTTTAAAACAGTGGTCTCAATAAACATTTCAGCTTCACTTGGAGATCTTCCCAACTCATTTTCCTATAATAAAGACATGATAGTTAAAATATTAATAAATACAATAACAATGAACAAAAAGAAAGGATACAGTTAATAAATAATATTAAACAAAACCAATTGAAATACCAATTTTTTGTGAATCCTGGCAAAACTTATTGACCCTGTAGTGTGTATATATTCTTGACCATCACGATTTGCTTTGTTGGTCTCACTTGTTATCTACACAATTAGAAGGAACATGGATTTAGAAAAACAACCTGACCATTAGAAACTTGCATGCAAATAATTATACAACTAAGAACCAGTCAATATAGAACAAAGTTTCAAGTATTGGCCGATACTTTTATATTAAACATATGTGTCATATTTATTTTGAATAGAAAGAACCTAATCTGAAAGTCTAGTCTCATCTTATTTACCTTTGATTGTTCGGTGTTCCAGAATTTGAGCAAGGCTTTAAATTCTATTTCAGGTATAGTATCTGGCCGTGTCTTCATTCTTTGTTTGTCATTTTTGAACCCGTCAAAGCACTTCTTCTTCAAGAATGATTTCCAACGCCTCCATGCACAGTTGACAGTTTCTAGGGTCCATTTTCTTCCTTCCTTCGGAATGTAATATTTTTCCTACGTTGACATAATTTGACAATAAATAATTTTGAACATAAATACTTGATTTAAATAATAAGGAAAAGAACAATATAAATTAGTGATTAAAAATGAAAATCGTATCTTAACATAATCCCATATTTTTTCTTTATCTTTTTCTTCAACTTTGTGCCAATTTTCCTTATCAAGAGGTGCAAAACTTGAGTTTCTGCCAAGTGTGCCTAAGAAACTGCTAAGTTCACTACATGCCTTATCTGACGGTCCGATAGGTTGTCCACATTCATTTAAAAAAATAACATGTCGATCATGTACACTTCGTGCATGAACTTTTTGACATTTAGTTTGCCCTCGATACTTTTTGGGTTTGTCTACTACTTTATTAGCTACCTCTCTTGCTGGTTGTCCCCTGAAGTCCTCGCCTCCTTCAGACTCATCTATAAAATCCTCCCCTCTATCTTCCTCTTCATCTTGCTCATCATGCTCACTAACATCTCCTACAGCATCTTCTATGAAATCCTCTCTGATATCTTCCTCTTTATCTTCTAAGTTGACCGAGTGTTCTCCTCTTGCTATCACTTTTATTTGTACATGATTCTGAAGTTGTTGTCGTGTCTTACTAGATTGTCCCTTTTGATCTATGAATTTTTTCCGAACATCTCGCTCCGCATTTCCTATTTCATCCAACATTTTCTCCTCTCTTGATTGTCTCATACGGATCATTTTCTTCTTTGTCCGCTCCTCTAACTCTTTTCTTTGTATTGCAATATTTCTAGCAGGTAGTTGACATATATTGGGCACATGCTTTCTCAGCTTATCCATATTACTTAGCCGATTATATTCTTTCGGTCGCACTTGTGGACATCGTGTGCTCATAACCTATACACCAGAAAAAGTAAAAAAGAAAAACAAATTAATGCATTTAGAAAGGAACTTAGAATATACAATAAAAACTCAACTAAACTTACCTCAAATGATCTCTTCTGTTTTGAAGAGGTTGACAAAGATTTTCTTTCTGCTTCCATGTTTTTGTATGTTCCCTAGTCATTCCATGGACAAAAGATCGATATATCAGAATGCATATGAATCAGGGCACAATTCAGCCTGCTAGAAAGTGTTTACAGAACATATTCAGAAGGAAATAAAAGCTAACAGTTTACTTTTGAACTATAAAAGGATCGCAAACCACATAAACCATTTACAGAAAAAACATAACTGAGTGTATCACAAGCTCAAGAAATAACGACAGCGCATGAAACTGATAAATCTTCAGAGTTTTTTGGCAAGTAAACAATGCATCTTATTTACCAGTAATTAATGAAGTTCGAACAAAATTGAATACAGAACTGTGGCCTCTCACAAACAAACTGGGAAAAAACAGACAATTACCTCACATCTGGAAAATAGAGACTATACAATCTGAAGGAAAAACCCAACTACATTTAGCTTCTCCTCTTCTGAAAAAAACTGTTAGTGGTTAAAAACTAGACTTACAGAATCGAAAATAAACTATAGGAACACAATAACAATTCAAAGGTAAATAAAAAATAAAACCAAGAGAAACAGTGTTTATTGTTTCTCTAAAATCATCCATGGGCAGGTTACTTTGTGATGTATTTTTGCATCTGATCTTAACTCAAACAGCAAGATGCACCAAAATACAAAAATCATGAACAATTTTCATCTACTCTCTTATTGATAATTCTAAGACCAAATTGACGATGTGCTAGGATTCCCAAGAGGGCTTACTCATTCTGGAAGATATAACTAAATGATTAATGTTATTGTGCTCTGATAATATGGCCTGGACAAACTACAAATGATAGTCTACCAAGGATATCACAAACTACATGATGAGGAAAGCTACCACTTATGTGTATACCATGCAATGCATCTAAAACAGTGAGCAGTTAGCAGAGGTAACTACAAATGATTGACTACCTAGAGTTGGGAAAATGTATAAACGTGGAAATAATATTCTAACAGGTAACTACAAATGATTGACTACCTAGAGTTGGGAAAATGTATAAACGTGGAAATAATATTCTAACAGGCTTTATCCCTATAAGCTTAAAATATTAGCGTTGGGAAAATGTATAAACGTGGAAATAATATTCTAACAGGCTTTATCCCTATAAGCTTAAAATATTAGCTTGCTGAGTTAATAACTGGGATAAAAAGTCTATTGTTAGTGTTCCTCATCTAATAAGATACTTATGCACCAGTAATTCACCAGCTCAGAAATCATATATATATTTTGCTCATAATGTATAATTCAGTGTGATTTATATATATTTTGCTCATAATGTATAATTCAGTGTGATTTCTAATTAAAGAATATATTTGAGTTCCTCAGATACATATAGGAACACAATAATGTGATTTCTAATTAAAGAATATATTTGAGTTCCTCAGATACATATAGGAACACAATAACATATCATTTCTTAGGAACCCACCTAAGCTAATCATATAAATATTGTTAGCGAGGAAAGTAATGGATTTTAAAATTGATATGACAATTGATGCATCGAACTTTATATAAATGATGATATGGATGTGCATAGATGCAACATTAATGAAGGATGTGTATGGATGTGCATAGAAAGATAAAAATGACAAAAGAAAACTACAAAATCTCATCAGATTAAAAACTCAAATTATTATTAATCCATATACAGGCAAACTTCATGTCAGCAAGCCAAAAGGAAATACCAGGAGCAATATATTGGAAAATGACAAATTATACTCAACCGATATACTCAAAACATAAAGTTCAAAGGTCATTTCTTTCAAAACATAAAGAAAATGACAAATTACACTAAGAAGTTCAAAGCTTATTTGTTTCAACCAAACATATAGTATCATGTCTTTACTCCATCCAATCCCAGTCTGTTTCATCAAAGTCACTGTCTTCATCACCTTCCATTACATTATCTGAATCAATATATATATTTGGAGGAATGTCAACAGTGGACCTCGGCACATCATCTCTACACCAACCCACATCTTCTATGTCATCATCAGTGGTTGGGATTAAATCGCTGACAATGTCACCACTTTCAACCCAATAGTCACATCCATGTGTCCCAATATCACTGTCAATATCATAAACGTGACTAGGAAGCTTCTTTAAAACATAATGCCAATTTTTGTTTGCCTCTTAAACAGGATCCTTCACATAGAAAACTTGATGAACTTGGCATGCCATGACAAAAGGGTCATTTGTGTGAGTTTGTTATTAAAATTGACGCGAATAAGCCCATATTCATCTTTTTCTGAATGAAACCAGTCACATTTGAATAGAACGACACTAAATTTGCTCCAATAGTCTATTTCAATGATATCTTGTATGACGCCATAAAAAGTAACATCTCCAGTTTTAGGATTACGGTCCCTAGAACTTGCATAACTATCTACTTGACTAGTTATAGACACACCACTATTCTGAGTTTTGCATGTTTCATCACGCGCCTTGATGTGGAAAGTACAACCATTCACATAATAGCCTCTGTATCTTTTTGCTACAAAATTAGGGCCCATTGATAACCATTTTAGATAATCAGGCGCTGTTTCCAACTCAGATACTCTAGTTTTAAACTAGTCAGTGAAGTCCTTGATGTGCTTTTGAGCTCCCGTCCATTTACTTGTTCTGCCTCTTTTTCTTGACTGATTCGCAATCAAAAGTTTATGTTCACTGCATAACAATACAAAATGCATGGGTCTATAAAGTGAAATATAGGCATCAACATCAAATAAGAAGTAATAATTAAGTAAATGAAACATACCTAATATAATTATCAACTTCATTGTTATCACAATTGTACAAGGCATATCGATGTGCATTAACCCAGTCAACATTATCTAATGTAAATGCTTTACCCTTTCTTTTCCTCTTTCCTCCCAAAGGATGACCTATCTTAGGAAAAATTGGCGACTTCTCTTCTGCAACATCAACTCTCTCATACCTACTTGTGTATCTATTAAACCTTGTCTTGACACCATCATGCATATATAATGAGCAAAAAGTCAGAGACTCTTCAACTAAAAATCCTTCTGCTATGGAGCCTTCAGGAGCACTTCTATTACGCACATATGACTTTAATCTACAAAGATATCTTTATGTTGGATACATCCAGAAGTAGTTGACTGGCCCACAATTCAAAATTTGTTGAACTAAATGAATAGGAAGATGAACCATGATGTCAAAGAAACTAGGTGGAAATATTTTCTCAAGCTGACAAAGTATCTTTACGATCTCAGTCTGCAAGGAATTAAGTTCAACTGGCTTGAGAACTTTGCTGCATAAACCCTTAAAGAAAGCACCTAATCTGATGAGAGGAATAGCAACACTCCTAGGCAAATTTCTTCTTAATGCAATTTGAAGTAAATATTGCAAGAGAAAATGCGCATCATGAGTCTTATACCCAGATATTTTCTTCTCCCTCACATTTACACATCTTGAGATATTTGATGCACAACCATGAGGCACTTTTGCATCCGCCAACACTTTGCAAAACATTTCTTTCTCCTGTGTTGTCATAGAAAAGCAAGCTTTCGCAAATGTAACACGACGACCATCAGCCGACTTCATAGGATGAAGATATCGTCTTATGCCCATTTGTTGTAAGTCAAAGCGAGCTTTAACATGGTCCTTTGTCTTTCCTGGAATATCTAACAATGTGCCAACAATATTGTCACAAACATTCTTCTCAATATGCATTAAATCAAGCATGTGAAGACATCTATTATGCTCCCAATAAGGCAAATCAAAAAATGCTGACCTTTTCTTCCACGGACAATTCCTATCTGCTCTTTTCTTCTGCTTTTTTCCAAATTCATTGACAAAATCAGATAATTTGTTTATAATTTCAGCCCCAAACAAAGATGTTGGTTCTCTTCCAAGCTCAATGTCACCATTAAATGATCTTTTATTAAATCGCCATGGGTGATCATCTTTTAAAAATCTGCGATGACCCATATAACACATCTTCTTGCTATATTTTAAATACTCAGAGCATGTATTGTAATTGCAATAAGGACAAGCCAATCTGCCTTTAGTACTCCATCCGGACAACATTGCGTATACTGGAAAATCACTAACTGTCCAAAGCAAAGCTACACGCAATTTAAATGATTGTTTGATAGAAGTATCATATGTAAGCAATCCAACTTCCCACAACTCTTTCAATTCATCAATCAGTGGCTGCAAGTATATGTCGATGTTGTTGCCAGGGGATTGAGGACCTGAAATAAGTAGAGATAGCATGAAATATTCTGCTTTCAAACACATCCGTGGTGGTAAATTATAGTTGATTAAGATAACTGACCATGTACTATGTGCGATACTCATTGTTCGAAAGGGATTAAATCCATCACTAGCCAACCCTAATCTCACATTACGAGGGTCTAATGCGAACTCTGGATGCTTTTCATCAAAGTCTTTCCAAGCTTTGCCATCAGTCGGATGCCTTAGAATCCTATCTTGGATGCGCTCCTTTGAATGCCAACTCATACATTTAGCAGTTTGAGAACACATGAATAGTCTTTGAACTCTAGATTTTAAAGGAAAGTACCTCAAACCTTTACTGGAACATTATGCACCTTTTTAGATGGTTGATTAGAATCATTAGATACATCATCCTTCTTTGGCTTCCACCGAGAAGCACCACAACTACTACACTCATTTAGCTTCCCATTTACATTTCCATAGAATAGCATGCAATCGTTTGGGCACGCATGCATTTTTTCATAATCAAGACCCAAGTCCTTGACAATCCTTTTGGCTTCATGAAAAGACTTTGACAACTTTATGTCTGGAATTGCTTCCCTCCATAGGGTCAAAGAATCATCAAATGCCTCATTGCTTAGTCCATGTATGCACTTATGTAGATATAATCGAATTATAAAAGAGAGTTTGGAAAAGGTTTTGCATCCTGGGAATAACTCTTGCTGACCTTCTTCCACTAACTTGTAAAATTTCTTAGCATCATCCTCAGTCAATTCCTCTGTGCCTTCCTTTATGCCTTCTTCTTCGTTATCTGGAAACTCTTCTATTGTGCCTCTAAAAATATCATGTAGTAATCCACCTACATCATCATGAGTATGTGCATCATCATCATCACTCTCGCTATGGACGTTCAATCTTGATGGCAAAACCTCACCATGAAAAACTCATTTGTAATAATTATCTATAAATCCCTTGACAATCAAGTGATTGTAGACAGTATTTTGCTGATGCTAACTACGATTACAGCAACCACGACAAGGATAACATATTTCATTCCCTTTAGCTACTCTTGCAAATGCTTTATCAAGAAAGTCATTCACTTTTTCAAAGTACTCGTCACTTACACGAGAAGTGTTATACATCCAACCTCTATTTTTATCCATAACTTGAACCTGCTAGAGAAAAGTAAATATATTCAGACATCAATAATATATATCTACTTACTAACAATGTATAAGAATCCATCAACTAAAGAGTTTGCAAGTTATTTTATAGGACTAGTCTCTCTCAAGCATAACTATTTGTTTAATAGTAGTATACATAAACTAAAATATGCTTATATCTAAAAAAAATAAAAATTAATTAGTTTCATATTTTGTTTAGAGAACGAGAACTTTTATCATTATAGAGCTAATATAAACCTGTGTGGATGCAATTATAGCAAGTAAATGAGATATAATATATTTGGCTCAAAAAGATAAAAAAAGAGAAACAATATGGTTCAACCAAAAACTAACTACCGCCGGTTATTATATTACCTTGGCCCACAATTAATTTTTTTTCCCCATAGAAAGATTTATCTAATACTTTCCCCTCATTAGCTTCTTATTCATCTCCTTCATTTGACATTTTTTTATATAACCATTTAAAGCAAGATTCAGTAAGTCCAAATTTGTGCAATGTTTGAAGCCTCCAACACGCTTACTTATCTTTTACGTGACCATAGTGGCTTGAGATCCACATTTTTCGACATTCTTGATATGAGCAAAGCACGCTGATTGCTTCCTCCCCCTTATCCCTCTCTAAGTGCCCTGATTCATAGTCAGCTAGCCTGACAATTTTAACAACCCAACTCTGCATCATTGACTCTCTTGTTCTGTGGTTTTTTTCTTGGAGTTACCTGTTGATAACTGTTAAACGCTGGAGTTTAGTTCTCACCGTGCAGTCATAAACATGCGTGTGATATTGTTGGGAGTTGACACTGTAGTGTTTTATTAAACTTTCTTTCTCTCATCTTGTAGTCTAAAACAAATTCTGTGTTTCAAAACTTTCTATTAGTTTTTTAAAAAAATTCCTCAGAATTGTTCAACACCCGCATTGCCTGATTCACTGAAGTCCTAATATTTTCTGAAAATTAACAAATACTTTGAGAAAAAATCATGCCTCAATAATGTGCATGCATCACCTCCTTTTGAGAATCTTGCCACATATTATATACTAACCAAACCACGCACATTTTAAAGTCTCTCCCGGTGGACTGAATTATAATATTTCACACCGTAACATTAATAATCATATATACATTCACATAGTTATATTATTTGCTCAAACCCCCCCCCCCCAAAAAAAAAAAAGTACCAATCATCCAAAAAAACAAAATCATGGATATGAAAAGCAACAGATATACAACGAATCCAATTGGGATTATTATTAGGTATAACCAGAGCAGTAGGATTTGAGCATGGCCTCAGATAAACATATGCATTGGATTTTCTTCACAAAGAAAACCTAAAACAGTATACTAACCGCGAAGCCCTAATTTTTATTTAATTTTACAAAGGACTAGAATAGTCAGATTATCTTCCAAGATTCCAAAGAAAATACAAAAAATTAAATATACATGCTTAAAATCAAACATCAACCAAGACAACAAAGCCCTAATTTGTAAAATTAAATAAAATTTTTGTTAAATAGATAAAAAAGAAAAAATTGAAACCCTAGAGGCACCTGCATCCCGAAGCTCCCGAAGCATCTGAAGCTCACGCTCTAGGCGGTCAAGATCATCAACAATAGATTTCGCCAAATCTGGGTACCCTGCATCCCTTATGGAATTTATTTTAAGATCAAGGAATGGCTTGAACTGGTGAAGGGAAAGTCCGCCGTGGAAGAGCTTGTCGATCATAGCATTCGTAAAGGAGAAGAAGGAACGGATCTCTATACAGAACAAAAGCTCCTGTCAAATAGAATTTTCAGATGCATCACATTATAGTTACATTAGTCAAAAATTGGCTAGTCCTATAATTAACTTGAGAAAAGCTACGTACCTTCAGAAAAACCATCCTCGGGATTCTTAGGGAGCGTAGACTTAGGAAATACATCTCCAGGCAACTGATCATCAATCTGAGGAGAGCCATACATTAAGTGGAGCATCCGGGTGTCCACAAGCAAGCCTTCCTCGTCAAAATCATCAATCGAGAAATCTGACACAAGAGAATATAAGTACGAAAGGAGAATAAAGAGACTACGACCAATAGAAATGAGTTACCTCTTATGGGTGCGTCAGCCTCTCTATTCCCAAGATCCACGTTTGCCTCCTGCGAATTATCTAAAAGAGCAAGAAGTATAGAGACAATTAGGGAATGCACAAATTCCAAATCATTCAACTCCTTTGTGTATTGTTAATCATCGAACCGGGTCCTACATCGACGGTCTCCCTAATGTCACCAGCTTCTGCAGGCCTTTCTACCTGGTATGGTGAGTCAGGCTCACCAGAAGATACAAACTCATGAGCAGGATCGAAACTCATCTCGCCTTCCTCGCGCTCTCCTGCATAGAACGTGAAAGCATGAGCCTGAAAATTCTAAACGATCAAGAGAATGATCTATAGAGCAGATGCTACCTCTGTCGCTAACAGGATCATCACCAGCCAAGTCCATCTCAGATGCTCGCGAATCTGCAGGCGGCTTATGGACTAGTCTCTTCCGCCTATCAGCACGAACAGCGGTCGAAGGTCTTGCCCGGGCAAAAGGACGGATTTCCTCTTCACTGTTGGTCGTTGTCCCTGAAATATCAGACAGTGGTCAAGACTAGCAATTCAGAAATGCAGAAAGAAAAGATGAGAGACTAACCTCGCTCGAAATCTGCCTCGTAATCTTCAGGATCTCCGCCTGAGGCCTCTCCAGCAGAACTAAAGGCCCTATGACCTTCTGCATCAAGTCGGCGGGTTTTGCCCCGCGCCCTCTGTGACCGAGCACCGTCCCGAATCACATGAGAATCAATCTGAGAGGCTTCTTCGGCCACCAACTCTTCAATAGGCTTCACAGGGACAGTCTTATTAGCTGCTAACAACCACCTGCAGCTCAAGAAAGTGAGGTTCAACTGTCGCTCAACACCCGGGAGACTGAACCTAGCACCGGTGCAGCCTGTAACGGTCCACAACCATGCACGAAGACCGTCCACCAAACCTCCATGAGCCCGAAGCTGCTGGCGCGGATTCCCGACATAAAGCTGGTCATAACCGAACTGGCGGGCGAATCGGCAAGGTAGATACGGCTCTATGAAGCACTGATTCCCCAGTTCACTAGCCAATTAAAGCAGCCGATATCTAAATAAGTGCGATACTCCCTCGGTTTCTCCTCATCAATCAAACACTCGCCATACCGGCTGGAGAACTGTGGAAAACAAGTAGAGAATGCCCAGCACTTGTGGACCTGTAGCTGCCTCCTGATATCAGAGAATCCTCGGCCTTCCCACTCGCCATTCTCAAGCAGCTGTAGTAAGGGAACAGAGTGGTCCATGGCATGCGGTACCGACATCATGTCAGAACGATGAAGGACGAACCAAGCCATCAAATAAATATACGGAAGCTCCACCTTAATGGTGGGAATCTGAGTCCTCCCGTGTAAAAGCACCGGAAATCTGTCGAAGCCCTCGATGAATGTTAGCCACCATCACCGGAAGAAGGGAAAGTTCCTTTCTGTAGGCAAGTTGAACCGCAGGGTAGAGCACTTCCAGTGGCAGAGCGTCACCAGACTGATACGGGACCACGCATTTCTTTAACCAGATGGCGAGGTAACCGGCAAGAAGGGTCATCGGACGAATCGACGCAGTCGCATGCCATAAAAATGATCTGAACTTGGTCCCTGCACGAATCGACAATATATCCCTGCCTTATAAAACACAATGCAGCGTCAAAACGCCCCCTTTATTTTGAGATATGGTTTTGACCAAGCAAAACCTATCTTTAAAGCGTCGATCCTCACCAAGGAGAATCAAGGCTCTTCCCGATTGCCTCACCAAGGAGAACGTGGGGTAAAAGGACCAATTTGCAAATTTTCAGAAAAAAAAGGGTTCATTTGTAAAATTTCTATCTTTGAAGCGTCGATCCTCACCAAGGAGAATCAAGGCTCTTCCCGATTGCCTCACCAAGGAGAACAACGTGGGGTAAAAGGACCAATTTGCAAATTTTCAGAAAAAAGAGGGCTAATTTGTAAAATTTCGAATATGCAAAAAATAGCTCACCAGCATATGAAGGAAGCACGCCGTCAGCCGATGCAGCAGGGGAACGACCTCTCGAGACTCGCGACATAATGACCTACAAAATAAATCAAGAGGTCAGATTTAGAAAAAATCCTCTTTTTATTGCAATTCTACCCCCCTGAAAGATAAGCTCGAGGCGCCAAATCATAATCCTAACCCTCGCATGCAATCCCACAAGTTCATAAATTAAATTAAGCATAAAAAATGCTAAAATTATGGAAGATATACCTGAGGGAAAGCTCGAAGATCCAATAAAAATTAGATCTTGAAAAGTGCTCGAACCACGCGCTCGAGGGGCCTGAGAGAAATTCTAAAAATGGAAGTTTCGAGGGATTTCTCAGTCAAAGATCCAAAGGAATGCTAGATCTAAAACGGATATCAAGTTTTGGATGAGAACGGATGCTCGAGGGAAGAGAAAAGCAAAAAAGAGGCTAAGGGGGGGGCCGGCCCTAGGTGAGGGAAAAGAAAAGGAGAACCCCTTTTATAGGGTGAACCGGTTCTGAACCGAACCGAACCGGACCGGACCGGGTTTGAACCGGAATCTAAATTGAAGCTGAACCGAGTGTCGAAACGACTTCAAATCGACCGACGATTAAGCCCATCATTTATTCACTCCTCTCCCATATGATCAGAAGAGTCGTAGGATTTTTTGAGCCTAATTACTGCCTTTTTTGGGTCATTATCAGACCGGTTCAGTTCATTTGGGCACAGAAAGTACTCCAATAAGGTATATGAGTATAAACTGTTCCCTAATTTTCGTTGAGAAGTTCCTGGAGAATGTTTTCATAAATATTCTTAAGGATAACTCAACAACACGACGCCGGACAACGCGTTGCAGACAAAGATTCGACGCCAACAATCGATGGTCAGCTAAAGATTAGAAAGTCAGGAATCGACTTCAAGTTTAAAAATTCCGACAACGGTCAGACAATAAATGCAGCACCGGAACTCTTACAGACATTCGACAAAGCACCGAATAGCCTGGAAGATTGAAGGAATCAAGAACGGAAGTCATTCCAAAGTCCCATTACGCCGACTGAAGGTTGGGACAATCATATCCAAAGTATTCCAGACTCTTCTATAAAAGAACGAGGCTGAAATACCTTGGAGGGGGTATCTATAGGCGTATAAAATTGCTTATAGGTCCCTTAGTACAGCTCGGCACAAACCGACGAACCAACGAGGCGACGAATCGCACGCAAGCAACGGAATAAATCCATTCGCGTTCGGAATCAAGCCAAGTGTTGAAGAGTCAACGAGTGATCCAACCAAAGACAAACTCGGACGAATCACGATCGAATCAAGATCAGTTTCGGACTCGAACTCAGAAGCGGAGCCACCCATGGGTGGCTCGGCCCAGTGCCGGCCACCTATAGGTGGCCGACACTATTCCGTGCACGGGCACAGTAAAGAGAGCCTATAAATAGGCCAAGGGTTGTTCATTTTGAGAGGTTGGACTTTTAAGAGCCGAAACTCTGCCGGATTGAAGATCAAGCTTAGAGTTTTGAAGACTTGAAGACTTGGACATCCAGATCTGATCCTCGGCGAGCATCCACGTCACAAAAGGCAGGAGTTCGAGAGAGGGGAAGAACAGATCTGAGATCTACACGAGATCACACTCCGGATCTAAGCTTGGTCTTAGATCCCGAGATCCGAGCGATTATTTCCTTAGTGAACTAATCCCTCCCGGCTATTATTCCCTTTGTGGAATAATACCCGTCAAATCGTGTAGATCCGACCGGATCTAGATCGCGCGGTGGTCCACGGATTAACCCCGGCGTTGGCAAAGAACCCACAAAAGCGAGCGACCGCAAAACAGGAGCTCGAGATTTGTTCACAAGGAGAAAGTTGTAATTTTCTTTTATTTTCTTTGATTTCGTTGTAACCGGATCTAAAAAAGACCGGATCTTTTGTAACCACAAAAAGTTGTTATTTTGAGATCACAATGACATCAATGAAAGCTACAATTTTCACCGCGAACAGAGGTGTGGTGAGGTCACAGAGGGAGATCGACGAGAAAAACCCTACGGCTCTTCGATGGGAGGAGTTTGTTTGATTTTTTGATTTTGATCGCCTGGGTGAAGAGGGGAGCTGAGGAGAGGTGGCGCGCTGCGGTTTTGCTCCTTCGAGGAGAGGAAGCGGCGGAAGTGGGAAATGAGAGAAAACCTAGGGCTCTTCGATGGGGAGGGTATTTTGATTTTGATCGGGTGAATGAGGGCTATGGTTATATGAAACAAAATTATAATTGTAATTTTTTTTTGGTTAAAGTTTGGGCGCGAACATAAAGCCTATAATAAAACCGTCCCCTTAGCCCATTATAAAATTTTAGCTTAAGCCTAAGTCAAGCCCAACGCTTTAGTTTAAAACGTTGTCTTAGATTTTTTCGTAACGGTTGGAACCGTCACCAAACCGTTCCCTTAGGAAGCAAAGGGAACGGTTTTAAACCGCACCCCACAAACCGTCCCCATAGAGCCATTATGTGGTAGTGAGAATTTGAGATCGATTTGTGGGTTTTGAGAATCGCTCTTAGGGCTCTGCAGGGATCGCTCTATTTGGGAAAGTGAAACGGAGGAGAGAGAGGAAGAGACCGGTTATATTTGGGGATGAAGGGTAGTTTAGGAATTTTTAATTTATTGGGTAAATACGGTATA